CCAGGCCTAGCAAGCCGCACGCACGAGGGCCAACTACAACCGCTAACAGCACCTTTATCGAGAGCGGGGACCTGTCAAGAAGAAGTGGCCGGGCGGCTACGCAACGGACGGGCAGAGAACCGCTTGCAGACAATCAAAAGGACCAACGGAGCCGCCCAGACAGTCTCCGAATCCTCTCGTACAACCTCGGTGCGGGAGGGCTAGGAGCGGAACGACTGAACAACTCCAATGGACATCGACTCGCCCTACTCATGGAGGATCTCGAAGCCCTAAAGAACAACTTCGACATCATCGGACTCTCCGAAACGCACTGCACTGAAGAGGCGCACCGCTCCTGGACGGACGGGACACTGCTCGGAGCCGAGATCCACATCGGCGCCCGCGATCCTACAACGAACATAGGCGGAGTCGGCTTCATCATCCACCCAAGACTGGTCGCCAACAAACGAGTGCAGGAAGTCCACATCATCTCAAGCCGAATCGAAGTACTGAAGCTCGAAGTCCCCGGCCAGAGAAGACCGCTCAAAATCGTCCAAGTCTACGCACCGCACTCCGGTTACGACGACGACATAATCGAGCAGTTCTATGACGAAGTCAGCGAGCAGCACGACGTGAGCACGTGCCGAACAGTCATTATCGGCGACTTCAACGCACGACTCGGCCGCCGGAAGGAAGACGAGCACTACATCGGCACGCACTCGGCCGAGCAGAGGAACGAGAGCGGCGAAATGCTGGCAGCTTTCGCAGAGTCACACCGCCTATACGTCGCCAACTCCTTCTTCGATAAGCCACCGAACAAGCGTTGGACGTGGCGATCGCCGGCGTTCAACCTTTTCTGCTAGCTCAACGTCCTCTGCGATGAGAGGAGCTGCGTCACGAATGTGGAAGTCCTCAGCCGCTTCGGATGCAGTAGTGACCACAAGCTTATACGGGCAACAATACGGATAGACGGCAAAATGATGCAGAAAAAGGTACTTCTCTCGTCTCTCGCACGCGGGAAGAAGATTAGCTACAGTGCACTGAAGACGGAAGCACGGGCCACTGACTGGAATACGCACGGCCGCATCAACGAGCAGTACGAACAAGTCACGGAGAAGCTCAAGCGATGCATGAAAGCCGCGACGGACAAAGAAGAAGACCAGTTTCGCTCGAGACTGTCGGAGGACACTAGAAGGAAACTTGCCGTGCTGAAGTCGCTGAAAGCCACTCCCGCCAACGCCGAACGATACCGTGCACTTGCCACGGAACTGCGTCAGCAGGTTGCGAACGACCACAAGGTCTACAGGGAGGTTGGATGACGCGCGCAGCAGAAAATCGCTCCAGCCCAAAGAAGTGCGCCAGAGAAACTGCGCAAACAAGGCTCATAACGGCGGCCCTGAAGGACAATAACGGCAGCAGAAAAACAAACCGAAGAGAAATCGAAGACATCTGCCGGAATTTCTACACGCAGCTCTTCGACAGCAAGGTCAACGTCGAGCGAAACCGGCCAGAAACCGACGACGAGGCCGAGCCACTACCGCCCGTTACCTGGGAAGAGGTCAAGAAAGCTATTCGCAGCATGAAACTCGGCAAGGCGCCCGGACCCGATGGCATCACCACGGAACACCTGCGAGCTGGAGGCCAACCGCTCTGGAATGCGCCAGCAAAGCTGTTCAACACATGCCCCAGGACGGGACGGACACCAGAGGGTTGGAAAGAATCGAAGACGGTGCTGCTGTACAAGAAAGGCGACCCCGAGAACATCGCCAACTACCGGCCGATTTGCCTGCTGTCAGTTGTATACAAAGTTTTCACCAAGCTGATCCTCACGCGGCTTACGGAAACGCTGGACGCTGCACAACCGCCGGAGCAGGCCGGATTCAGAAGCGGCTATTGCACGATGGACCATCTGCAGACAATCAACCAGCTGCAAGGAAAGGCTCCAGAATTCGGCCAGCGTCTCTTTATCGTCTTCATTGATTATGAGAAGGCGTTCGATAGCATTGAGATGAATGCCGTCTGGAACGCGCTCGAAGAGCAAGGAGTCGATCCCCGCTACGTCAGCCTGCTTGAAGAGACCAATACCGGCTGCACTACGGACATCACGCTGTTCCGAGACCCGATACGCATCCCTGTACGCCGAGGAGTCCGTCAGGGCGATACCATCTCGCCGAAGCTCTTCACCGCGGCGCTAGAATCCATCTTCCGAGGAATGAACTGGGACGGCGACAAACGTGCGGGCGTCAGCATCGACGGACGACGACTCAACCACCTACGCTTTGCAGACGATATCGCCCTAGTTGGCCGCAGCATGGCGGACGTACAGAGACGTCTAAACGAGCTGGACGAACGCAGCACGGCAGTTGGATTTCGATACCCAACAGGGACTGAAGCTGGGCGAAGAAACCATCGTGCGCACCTGGAAGTACATCTACCTCGGGCAAGAAGTCAGATGGGATCATAAGCTGGACGGCGAGATCACTCGACGGCAGAAAGCGGCCTGGAACGCCTACAACAACGTGAAGGACGCGCTTAAGAACCTGACAGACGCGAAGCTACGAGCAAACCTCTTCAACACCACTGTTCTTCCGGCTCTCCTAAATGGCTGCGAGACATGGGCACCGACTCAAAACCAAGAACGGCGTATAGCGGTAACACAGCGAGCCATCGAGCGACGCACACA